AATATTTGAAATCGCCATTATTAGCTATAAAAATCAAAAATAAATATAATTTTTTTAAAAAAAACCCGGGCCGGAAAAAATTTTTAAAAAAAATCTGGGCCGTGTCCTGCAAATGGTACCTCTACAAGGCTCTGTTATTCTTATTAAAAAGTGAATGTTCTCTCATTAGTTTACTAAAGAGCTGCTAATATATATATAACCATTTTAATAATTGGGAGTATAATCTAAAATGTGTTTGAAATAAAAAGCATCCATAGCATTTTTTGGGACTGTATCAACAATAGTTAATCTTTAAATCATAGTTATTCAGCTAATAAGGCATCATAAGATATTTTAACATCTTCAAGATAAAAATCTAACAAATATTTATATATTTTTTCTATCACCATATGAAAAAGATTGGGAGAGGGGACATTTGTTTTATAATACTCTTCTACTGATCCTATATTAATGTTTTAACGATGAGCTTGCTCTGCAAGTCGAGGGGGACAAATATTAAACACGTATAGCTCTGCTTTTGACTCAACAATAACATATAAAATATGAAATTCTTCAACAACATTAGCTCTATTTCCTTGAGTTCTAATAAAATGCTCTCCGCTATTCTCATCTTCTTAATCAAGTCAATGTTATGTTTTTGAAAAGTATTACATAAAATAGTTGTATAATTAAATAATACATTCTAATGAAAAAAAAATTTGGAATAAGTATTGAATCCAATAATTTTCTTGCTTCTGAGGAAATATTTCTTTCATAATAACATTCATAATCGGCTCTTCTAACTCCATAATAGCTGTTACTGTGGTGGAGACTCGATTTCGTTGGACAAGCTTGCAATTTCTTTCTCCCTGTTGGACAAGGAGTTTCAGAGATAATTATTATTTGTCTAGAAATTTAGATAAATATTATGCCACTAAAATTTGAAAATAATAGGTAAATTACGCCAAGGAAAACTTGAAATCGAAATTGATTGATAAAATAACTTAGTAGATGAATGTGATAAATAAATGTAATTAAATATATATATATGAGATAGGAATAAATATTAACAATAATATTTTTGAAAAATATAATCCGGCATCTGCATTTTTTGGCTGGGGGGGGGGGGGGGGGGGTTGTCCCCCTGCCCCCCTCGCTGCGTACGCCTATGGCCGTAATTGTTTTTTAGTATGTAAGATATATATATAGTTGTACACCCCTCATAATTTCAAACAATTTTAGCTCGATTTTTGAATTATTTGTATTTTTTTCATATAAATTAAAGAAATTCACAAAAAATTCATGGAGCTGAAATTCATGAGGTAGATATTCTATTTACATTTTGAAATGTGATTAAAACAAATCAGTTTTATGAAATTAAAAAACAATAAATTTTTAAAATTTGGTGATCGGGGTCACTTGACCTTGAATTTTATAAACTCCTACGATATATATATATATATATGCTACTGGTAATTTTACTTAATCAGGCAATACGCGTATCCCTTAATCAGAAATATCTTACAACATTGTCTTAGATTTATAGAGTAGGTATTCTACACATACACATGAATATATTTTCAATAAATTTAGAATTTTTTAAAATTTAAAATAATAAATGATTAATTGGAAAATAAAACAATCGTTTGTTGAACGCGTTTTTTAAATTAAAAATCTCATTTTTCCCCCCATTCAAAAAAAAATTAAATCCTATTTATGATAAGATAAATCATTATTAAAATGACAATAATTATTATTATAATAATTTTCAAAAAATTTAATAGATAACAATTTTCCTTTTTTGAATGAGAATTTTCCTTTTTTGATTGAATTTTTTTTCTTTTTATTTTTGATCGGAACTCCATTTTAAACTGGCAGATTCCAATTCTTATTACCAAGTTTAGCGTCATAGGACAGCATTCCAGTGTTTTCCCTCAATACAATATTAGATTTGGCCTACAGTCATTGGCGTAATCAAGGGGGACAATCCTCCGTCGTAAATTTGTCAGTTTTCGTAAATATCATTTTAAGATATTAAAATAATTTCCCGACACCCTACCTCACCCTCCTCTCCCAAAATAAATACAATTTATCAATATAAACCAAATTTTTTTAAAAAAAATAGTATAAATTAATCATTTTGAAATAATGAGAATGACTATAATATAAATTTTAAAGAAAACTAAAATATTATTTAAAATGTAACCAGACCAAAGGTCCTCAAAGAATGGACCTAAAAATATCCAATAATATTTATAAAAATACCCTCAAATCCCCCCTCCTAAGAAAATCCTGGCTACGCCTCTCTAGTTACAATAATTACAAAATAAATCGTCTGAAATTTGTACAGAAATAAAATATGTTTTTATGTTGATTATTATCGGTAGAGAATCAACAGGTCTGTAAGAAATTTTCAATAAAATATATTTAATATAAATTTTTAAAATTTTATTGAAATCGTTTAAGCTATTTGTTTCATTTAGCAACGTTTTTTAAATATGTATTTTTTTTGTACCACATGGTATATAACATTAAATTAGAGAAAAGACGACAATAAATCTGGTTATAAGCTATTGCCAAACCTTGATCGATTCTACAAATAGTTGTACTGTTAAATATGAATTGTTAAACAACAAACTATAATACGATTTATCAAATAATAATATTAATTGGTAATAAAAATGACGGTTATGTAATGTATACACTCATTTTTAAATTATATGTTGTTAGATTGATTCCACTAATTGAGAACTTCTACATCTAATATTGAAATTCCTTTCATCCAGAATTGATATGATTGCTTGGAATTCGAACCCAGGATCATGAAAATTTTGAAATATTGACTTGGTAAAGAAATCCTGGATACAATTTGAAATAACTTTAATTTAAAATTTTTTGCCAAATAGAGTAAAGAAATTTAAGAACAAACAAAATATGAATAAAACTCAAAAACTGAATATAGGGCCCCTCCTCCACCATTTGGGAAAGATGATTGATCACAATATATAAAAAAGTATCTTATTCTTTAAAATTATGATTTATAAAGTTTATTATTTAAAGAAAATTGAATTCTGTCTAATTTCCCGCTAGGATTCGATAACGGAAAAGAATATATAGTTATTAACCCTCATAAGAGACCCTGATTTCTTTATTCATGATCGCATGACTCTAAGTTTAAATGATTTGCTTATCAAGAATCTAATAGAGTTGTTTAAAATTCTCAGAATGTAAATTAAATTTATTTTAAAATATCATAGAATTTTATTTTTCAAAAACATACACCTCGAGTCTTTTGAAGAGTCGGTTCATTAAACACTCACTACTTTTATATTCAAATATATTTTACTATATGGCATATTTTAATTTTATATTGTTAAACAGCCTAGAGTTGCAATATTATTTTGAAGGTCTTAATAAATATTACTTTTAACAAGTGGGCACTCTTTTATTCATTCTCCCTTTAAAAAATATGGTAGTTTAGAATTGAAAGGCAGAGAGAAGAAACCTTATTAATAGTTCTTGGAAAATACGTGCCAACTTTGATATACCGGGTATGCCCTGGATATCTTCTTGATTTAGCAGGCTGAGATGTCAACTTCTATCATATGTTTTTTCAATAAGCTAGTAGATGAATTTTTAACACAAGTTCGGTTCATTCCCCTATGCATTTTGTCTTTTAATGAGACAGGATCTAAAGTTATAAAGCGAGTTGTCAAATAAATCCGATATCCGGGGTCTTATTATTTGATCCATGAATGATACTATTTTACATTTAATGAATAATCATTTTTTTAAGAGAAGTCAACTTCATCTGTAATGTTTTATTAACTATCAGTTAGTCAGAAAATAATTATAATTAAAGATATAATGTAATAGAATAAAAGTTTGTAACCACCTGGAAAAGGGGGATATTTTAATTTTTCAATTATCATAGGTAAAAAAAATATTATTGGTAAAATAAAAAAAGACAATCATATTTTTTAAGATAATTTTATAAATATTTATTTTTTTTTTATAATAAGCATGTGTTATATGAGATATTTATATATAAAAGCATTACAATAAGTATTCCCTTTGTAAAAAAAATAATACACACAGCTTGAGGGTGACCAATTCATGTTATATTATTTATAATTATTTTAAAATTTATTTTTTTTGTTATAATTTGTAAACTTCGACATTTTCATAATTTAATAAAAGTTCTTTAATTTTTCAAGGTATTACAGTAAATATTTTTTTAAAAACTTATTTTCTTAAAATACACATAATTTTTTAAGATAAATGTTAATACTGTATAACGATAAAAGTGGTAGAAGGAAGTTATCAATTTTTTGGAATTCATTTAACCTTAAATAAAAAAATTAAGATCATTATACTATAAAATACCATGGAAATAAACTTGCAATTACCAAAATTATATAGAATATTAGAATAATTTAATTTTTTCCTAACCACCAAACTCGAAAACATTTAAAGTCTAAACACCCTCAAATAATTGCAGAATGAATTATTTTATATATAATTAATATCATATCAAATAACTACCGCAAAACTTTCAATGCTAAACCGAAAATGCATTTCAGCGAAATTACCACAAAAAGTCATCACTAGTGAAATTTCATATCCCAAACTAAAGTATAAGTTATAATATAAAGGCCTGATGTGCCTAGATTAAATGGTAAGATGGCTAAAGTTAGGTTGCGAATTGTGATACATTAAAATATATTTTTTTATTTAAATTGATAGACAATTTTTTTGTGTAAATACATTCACGGTAATGTAATCGCTAAAATGTATTCACAATAGTTTTGTTAAAAAGCCGGTTGATCAATTTTAAAACACGCGATTTAGATTTTAGCCAAAATAATATTATGTAAACCTCGAGATTTGACAAATAGAGGTCCAAATCATTCAGCCATTAAAGAAAAAAATCTCCAGGCTACATAATATTATTATGGCTTAAATCTTAATCGGTGGTTTTTAAAAATCAACCACTAATAACAACTTTAAATATTATCTACTTTGCGAGATTTCGGAATATTGATTTTTGTCATTATCGCCCGTAACATCTTCCTTCCTAGTGTACATCGATTCTCTCGACCCGTGATCTTTATGGCAAGAAAAGTTTTGATAATTAGGATCTTGATTCGGATTCTTATTTCCCGGTGGTGACACAGGTTTATTCGATGGAGGTGGAACGGAAAGGGGGGAAAAAAGGGAGGATAAAAGAAGAGAACCTTCTTCACTGTAATAATAATAAGGAGAAGGTGGTAAAGGAATGCCCTGGTTAGAATGTAGCAGCATACCTCCCCCTGGCCCATTTTTACCCATAAAAGGGCCTTGATGGAGTGGTAGTTTGATATCAGTGTATCGCAGTCGGGGTTTAATGGTTTCGAGTTCTTCCGAGCCATGATTTCTTTGGATGAATAACTTGTGAACGTCCTCCTCGTTAGCCGAGGGGATAATTTCTTCATCCTTATTAGAGTAGTTTGAATTAAGATAACTTTTTGGAAGATGAACAATATCATTGGTATCGATAGGGGATAAGATCGAATCTAATAAATAATTGTTTATGGGTGTCCTAAATCCTGTAGAAGATAATTTTTCCGAATATTTAGGATAATAAAGAGAGTGCGTTGTTATAGTAGAATTGGAATGGGGCAAGTTTGGGTAAGTACCCAAGATAATGTCGGCTCTTTTCATCGACAAATCTAAGGGCATCTCATTTTCCTCGCAAAAGATTTTATAATTGTTTCTATAATCGTTATATTCGATGGGATTAGATGTCGAATGATGGTTTTGGCCATTGTTAATTAAGCTAACTCCCTGACATGTCATGTTATATCTCGGCGTTTCATAAGAATAATCAGGCATAAACGAAATCGGATCTTTACCTTGATTGGGAAGGATGACCTCCTCGGAATAGAACCTTTTTGCTGTGGCATGAAATAAATTAATGTTAGTTTGAGCAATTTTGGATTTTTAAAAATATTTGTTCAATTTATTGTTTGTCTAAACTGATGAATAAAAGATACCTATTGAATGATAGCACCTTTTAAATGAATTTTATATTGTATCCGAAATTAAACAACATTTTTTTAGTTTCCTAAAAAATTATGATAAACATTTGGAGTGGATATTTTTAGTCACTTGGTTATAATATTGTATCAACCATATTCATATTAAAATAGGCAGCATTTATCATTGATATTATAAATTTTTTAATATAGAAAAATAAATCCACCATATAATTAAAAAGGTTACTTTTAACCTGTTTTTGTAGAAAAATAATATTTTTTATAAAATATTAATGAAAGGTTAAAGTAAATTTTAAAATTTACATTTTTTTTTCTTGGGTATAATTAAATATAAAAAAATTCAGTTTTGAAGGCTTTTTTCTAGGGATTTTTTTTAATATTAAATTTAAAAAATTGAGATAGTGTTATTTTAAAAATGTTTATTTACTATATTTTTTTAAAAATACAACGGATAAAAGCGGTTCATATAGTCTATAATATCAAATTTAAATTAAATTAATATATTAATATTGGATACTACTTTTTTTTGTGGAAAAAAAATTTTTTAAATATAAAAAATGGCAGGTGTGTGTGATTGTGACATATTTTATACATTATACTATATTTAATATAAATTATTATATTTCCAACTATAACAATTTTCCAACGATATATTTTTTTTTTAAAAAAGAAGCCCCTTTATATTTTTATATACCTTATGTCTCTTCTTATTTATTTTATTTTTATATTACCCACCTTTAATTTTAACTTTTCCTAATAATATAATCATATTAAACTTTAATAAAAAAAAATAGTCTTTTTTTTCCAAAATATTAAAATATAAATATAAAATTTTAGGTCCTATAATAGCATCAAATTGACCCGATAGAATTGATAATTTTTTCTTGATGAGTTGACGCTCGTGAACGCTGGGGAAGGGGAGAGACACCTCCCCCCCCCCGGTGAAAAATTATTTTATATGTTTTTTATATTTCAGAGACTGGTCGAAATTTTAAACTTAGCTCTAACAAATTTCTTTAAAAATAATATTTTTAACGCCTATTCCTTATATCTCAAAAAACCGCAGGAATTCAAAAGTTTTAAAGAAGTTTAAATATTTTTTTTAAATAAAATTTCGTCATCATTTTAATTATTAACTGAAGGCAATTTTTAATATTAGGAAATTTGATTTAATCGGAAATGTATTCTAGCACTTATAGAGTACCGACATTGCAAATTTCAGACGATTTTGCAGTAGAATTTTGTTTGAACCGCACTTAACTTATATTCATTTTGTGTAGATTTTTCATATAAATTATTTGACACAAAATTTAATGGTAAAAATTGTATAAAATTCATAGTGTAATTGCACTACATATGGCTCGGATACATTTCCGGTCAAATCAAATTTTCCAAAATCACTCGCAATAAATTATATATAATTGAAAGATTCCGAATCCCCGTGAACTCCTCAATACCCCAATACGACAGATTTTCCAATTGATATAATTTTTTTTTTTTAAATTGGCCTGTCTCTGGGTTAAAAAAATTTACGACCGGCGCGGGTTTGTAAAAATTTTTAATTCAAAGTCTACAGCCAGGTGTTACATGGAGGTCCTGCACTGTAGGAATCCCATGTATTTTTATTTTCAAGTAATTTTTAAGATATTTATTTTTTAAGATTATTTGGTTATTTGAGCCCTTACCTGGACCTGGGATTTTCCTCTGGAAATTTATATAAATCCATAAAATCAACTCGTATATAAATTTTATATACCACTAAAAAAAGAATATGACTGATTTTTAAACAGTTGTTTATTGTGTCAATGGCATGTAATCTGCAACAGTATATTTCATAACTATGGTGCTTATGAAAAAATCGAATGCCCAAGCTGAAGAATAAGAATGCTATATAAAAAAATGTTTAAATGTTTGACTTAATCTAGATTTTTTGATTAGATAGCAGCATGTGATGGATGTTCTGTTATATATGGTCATAGACAAAGCATGCCGCAGAAAATTCGATAAGAATACATAATATAAATATGCGTTGTTTGAGTAAAATTTGCTGGGAATAGATTGGCACCAATAATTTCATTTGAAAAATTCCAGGATTTTAGTTTAAATTGTAATTCGTTATAAGATCAAAGGGCATAAATTGATAAAGTTTAATATTCGATTTGATGCGAAATTTACGAATATAATAACAAATTGTTGGAATCGAAAACTTTGAATCGAATACAAATAATAAAAAAAATTTGAAGAAAAATATTTTTAAATTATTCATATCATTCGTAAATTTTGAAAATCATAAATTTTAATAAATATTTGAAATTGAATTATATTTGTTAATTTTAGAATTTGCAAATATTGGTAATTCAAAAAAATAATTAAATCCCCTGTAGTAAAATATTTTATATTTTCTGGTACTTACGCGGTTAGTGACTTTTTTATATTGTGATAGTTTAAATTTCCTTAAAATAAAATTAAAAATATAAATTGTAAGATTATGCAATCAGAACATTTATTCTGCACTTTTGAGTCAAAAAAATACATGTCTCTAAAAGATATTTCACGTGATTATGAATTATGCAATAAGTGATTAAATTTCTTTTATGTATAAAATATCTGAAAATTAATTTTAAAAAATCTTTATTTAATTTAAGAATATGAATACTAAATTATTAATTCGAAATTTACTAATCGAATATGAATATTTCAATATTAGAGTTTTTTCTGAAGTACTCTAAAAGGTATTTCACGTGATTATGAATTATGCAATAAGTGATTAAATTTCTTTTATGTATAAAATATCTGAAAATTAATTTTAAAAAATCTTTATTTAATTTAAGAATACGAATACTAAATTATTAATTCGAAATTTACTAATCGAATATGAATATTTCATTATTAGAGTTTTTCTGAAGTACGCGTATACTATATATCCTTAAAAAAAAATTTTGAAAAAAAATCATAAATTTTCTTTTATTACCTCTAATCATTCTTTGCTACGACAAAAACAACAACTTGACGATCAGATAGGAACCAAAATTAAAATAAGCCTCTAGCACCGTGGAAAAAAATAGACATAACCCATCTATTATATATTAATAACCATTTAATTGCATCTCTCGATTTACAATTCTGTGAAAATGTAAACACCGAATTTTTATTATTTGCAGTGTAGTGTAGCCCCGTTGTTAAAAATGTCGCCGGTTGAATTTGCTAAAATGCAGCTAAATTATTTCGTTTTTATATAGAGATTATCAAACCGTATTACATAAAATATCGTTGCTTTACTTGAACTCTGAAGCCTCCCAAGCTACCGCCTCAATTTCGTAAAATATAGCTGTGTTTTATGATCCAATAATCATCCTTTGAGACTATTTATTAGCACTATTCAACAGATATTTATATACGTATTAAATTCTAAATAAAAAGATATTTATGTGGCCCTCAATGGATCTCTCAGGTAATTTAAGTTTTTTTTCATCATACTTTTATTTTCGTTTTAATCTTAATAATCATATTTAAAAATAATCAAGATATATGAATATGAATTTAATTTAAAATTAAATAAAGATAACATCTAAGCAAATATATGAGGGAACAGAGAAGATAGGAAGATATCACCGCTAAGGAGGAGAGAATTTAAAATTGAATTGATAGATTTCGAAGAATTCCTTGTTAGGATCAAAATATTTCATTCACATAGTGTTGTTAATCGGCTTAGCCGAGTCGGCTCGAACAGAGCTGACCCATGGGTCGTTTTTTTCGACCTCGACCCGAGTTCAAGCCGAAAAAACGACCTCGACCCGAGTCTAAGCCGGAAAAAACGACCTCGACCCAAAATATGGGTCGTTTTTTTCTACCTCGACCTGAGTCCAAGCCGAAAAAAACGACCTCGACCCAAAATATGGGTCGTTTTTTTCGACCTCGACCCGAGTCCAAGCCGAAAAAAACGACCTCGACCCAAAATATGGGTCGTGTTTTTCGACTCAGACTTGAAGCTTGGTTGTTTTTTTCGACTCAGACTTGAAGTTTATTTTTTTAAAGCCAATGTGTAAAAATATATTTTGCAAACATGTTAAATTAAAATTTCAGTGAAGATGTACCATAGGAAAGTGACAATTGTCTTAATCGTCATTTTTGAACATTTTTCAATTTTTTTTAGACAAATATAGCAGCAAACATGTTAAAATAAAATTTCATTGAAGATGTACCATAGGAAAGTGACAATTGTCATAATCGTCATTTTTGAACTTTTTTGAATTTTTTGCAAATGGGTAAAAATATATTTTGTAAACATGTTAAATTAAAATTTCATTGAAGATGTACCTTAGGAAAGTGACAATTGTCATAATCGTCATTTTTGAACCTTTTTCAATTTTTTTAAGGCAAATGGGTAAAAATATATTTTGTAAACATGTTAAATTTAAATTTCAGTGAAGATGTGCGATAGGAAAGTTGTTATTTAAATTTAAATATTATAAAAAGTTAAAAATATAGAAGCATAAATAATTGAAAAGGAAAAATGACTTGCTGGTTATTTCAAAGTGAGAGGATGGGAACCTTATGTGCTGCTAATACCTTCTCCCACCCCTCTCCTTTTTAATAAAGTAATTTAACAGAATAAACCTTTTTAATGTTTATTTTTTATGTTTTGGAAATGCACTAATATTGTTTCTATATTTGTTAAATTAAATTTATACCAAAACGAATATATTATAATTTATCAGAAATGAATTCCAACGGATTAGTTTTTACTATTTCCAAAAATTTAGAAAGTATTCTACACGATAAACACGTTGTTTATCGTGT